ACCAAACCCCCCCCCAAATAAACAAACAAAAAGACACGAGAACCACGCAGAGGACCATTAGAAACGAAAATTAAGCCAGATGGCAGTTAGACAGGAATATAATGGTAGACGGCATTCAGATACAAATGCCGTGCCAAATGGCGGTGAGAGACGAACATCATGCCACATGATAGTCAGAGTTGAGCATCGTGCTAGATGGCAGTAAGACACACAAAGTACGCCATAATATGGCAGTTTCTCAGGAATGTAAAGTCAGAAGGCATTCAGACAGAGCACCATGTCCGATGAAATTCAAACCGGATATAGTAATGCCTGACGGTTGTCGTATATGAACATCATTCAAGCCAGAAGGCAGTCGCAAGTCAGAAGGGAACACCATGCTAAAACTAAAAGGCCGACAGAAACGAATAACATGCCACAGAGCAGCCAGATGGCAACCAGACATGTATATCGTGCCAGATGGCAGCCAGACACGAACATCATGCCATACAGCAGCCAGGCACGAGCATCATGCCATACAGCAGCCAGACACGAATGGCAGCCGGACATGAATATCATGCCATAGAGCAGCCAGAGACGAACATCATGCCAGAAGGTAGTAGGTAGACAGACGTACCTTGACGGCGGAGTAAGGGCCTGCGAGGAGCCCGGTGGGCGACTGAATCCCCGCGACAGACCCCAGCGGCAGGCCGTGAGGCATGGGCGGCGCCCCGCGCACGGGGGAATGGAGGCCCGCGCTCTCCAGCTGGTGTGGGGACCCGTGGGCCGCCATCCCTGGCCGCTTGTCCCGACCGTTGCTCTCCATCTCGCCGGGCGTGGCTGGGGGCGTCACCTTGAGCGTGGGACGAGAGGACCGAGAGAGAACGGGGTCACTGAGTGCACGCACCCACACCGCTGCCACTGCTCAGCGGGCATCTACATTATTTTGTTCATGTCTGTCTACTTCAACAGAATCTTTTTTGTCATCATGTTTAACCAGTTGAGTAGAAAACGAAAGGGAAAAAGAATCAGAGGAAGGCCCGGACTGACGAACTGTGGCAGTTTGAACAAGCAGAATGCCGCACAAGCAAGAGGAAAAAAAACCCACCTAAAAAACAAAAGAAAACAATATCAACTAAAAAATAAACGATCTCCTTCCCGGGAGTCGGCGAAGCCAGAAGAGAGAAGAACCTCCACACCTCCACGACACCACCACAGACAATCCAGAAGTCGACCCTCCAGGGAGGGAACATTTTCCAGCCACAAAACTTCTCAAGATCATCAAAACCCACGACGTCATGACTATCGCTGAAAGATCTAGTGGGGAAAATTATGGACAGACTTCGTCACGACAGTCCAGTGTGGTTATCTGCGTTCTACACAAGCCCGGCTTTCCTCGTCAATATCATCACTATCAATTCGTGTACCAGAAAAAGACAAAAGCTTCGCTGAAAACAAAACAAAAAAGTACAAAGGAAATGAGGACAGAAATAAAAACAAACAGACAAACAATCAAACGGCGAAGTTATCAAGCGGTCATCCTAAACGACTTAACAACCCCAAACGGATGGTGAATCGATTGCTTAAACTAATTCTTGTTATGAGGCACGTTCTCATCAAATTAATGATACGGGCAAAAATATATTGTGTCAGGAAACGTTCGATTTAAATGATTTGAGAGCAAAATGGAAGTAAAAGAAGTGAAACTAACAGGGTGCGTTGCTTGCGAAGAAAGCGAGTTGAAACGTGAAGGAATGGCTGTATTGGTACCATTGCTAGGCGTATTAGGAAGAGGGAACTAGATTCCGGGCGAAAAGTTCTGGAAATTAGCAACAAGTGGTAGTGGAGAGAGAGAGGGGGGGGGAGAGAAGAAGAGAAGGAAAAGTGACAGGAAGAGTGTGTGCGTGAGAGAGAGAGAGAGAGAGAGAGA